CAGCTGTCATTGTTGTTTGGCCGGCCAGGCTGGATTCGAACCCGCCACCTTTGGTGTACGTGGCTGGCGCCTTAGCCACTTGAGCCACAGGCGCTGAGCCTTAACTGTATTTCTTAAAGTCTTTCTTCTAGAGAATGATAGCAGAAGAGCAAATAATAGTCTTTGATCTAATAATCAAAGAGTTAATTGAACTGTGTAAAAAGATACTCTGTCCTTTATGCTTTGGGATGTATTCTTTTCCTTTAAAATTTAAAAGTTAGGGGCAGCACCTGTAGCTCAAGGAGTAGGGCGCCGGCCCCGTATGCCAGAGATGGTGGGTTCAAACTCAGCCCCAGCCAAAAACTGCAAAAAGAGAAAAAAAAATTTAAAAGTAAAATGAATGTTTATTAAAGAAATTTAGGGAAATTATATAGAAATTGGGGAAAGATGATTACTATATTTTTTAGCATCCGAATTTCTACTTCAAACCTGAAATAAATTAAGTTTTATAAATGGAATTCATAGCTAGTGTTGAGAAACTGGTAAGGGATGATTACTCTTGTTTAGCACCATCTTTCATCCTTAATTGTGATTGGGTCTGCTTCTGAGTAGTTTTTTTTTTTTTTAGTTCTGTGGTCTATGTCCCACAGGGCAGGTTTTCCTGTCTTCTGAATGTTATTAGTATGCTACAGGTAGTGTGTACTGCCTCCTGATATTCTCAAAGCAAAGGCGGGTCTCCTTTGGCCTCCAGGAACAGCCTCTCAGTGTGGGTTCAGGGCATCCCAAAAGTTGCCAGAATACTTAGGGAGAATGGGAAACTATAGCTAATATACCTTTATTTACAAAATATTTACCACAAAGTTTTATAAAGTATTTGCAAAATATTCTCTACATGTTGGCCTCCTCTTTGTAAATTTTTATAGTCTTCCATGTGCCAGTTTTCCTGTCCTGCCACCACTTATACACACATGTTTCTACATTTAACTGTATTTTTCTGAATGGACCACCTCTGCAGCCTCGCAGTTTCACTGATACTCAGATGAGTGCTTGAGTCCATCAGCAGGCATTGACTAGATTATGCACAGCAGCATGTTCTTAGTGACTGAAATCTTCTGGAAGGAAGGAGAGGTAGAAAAGAAAACCCAAGTGCCATTCAGAAGTGGAGTAGATAGATAAATTGTAGTGTATTCACACAGTAGAATGTTACATTGCAGGTAAGGGGAACTGCTAATTCACAGTCACTCCATCTCATAAAGTACATGATTGAGCAGAGGTGTCTGGACACAAGAAATTGTGGGAAATGCTGTTATTTTATGTCTCTTTGTAAGCCACTGAAGCATAGAGGCCTCTGGATCTCTAGCATCCCGCATGTTATCTAGCACATAGCAGGTGTTCATGGTGCCTTTATTTTATTTTTATTTATTTATTTATTTTTGGAGACGGAGTCTCACTATGTCGCCCTTGGGGGCTTAAGCGATTCTCTTGCCTCAGCCTCCTAAGTAGCTGGGGCTACAGGCACCTGCCACAATGCCTGGCTATTTTTTGGTTGTAGTTGTCATTGTTGTTTGGCAGGCCCAGGCTGGATTTGAATCTGCCAGCTGTGGTTTATGTGGCTGCTGCCCAAGCCGCTGAGCTATAGGTGCCAGTCCTTCTTTTTTTTGTTTTTTTTTTTTTGGAGACAGAGTCTCAGAGTCTTACTGTATTGCCCTCAGTAGAGTACTTTGGTGTCACAGCTCACAGCAACCTCAAACTCTTGGGCTTAAGTGATTCTCTTGCCTTAGTCTCCCAAGTAGCTGGGACTACAGGTGCCTGCCACAATATGTGGCTATTTTTTTGTTCTAGTTGTCATTGTTGTTTTTAGCAGTCCCGGGCCATTTTCGAACCCACCAGTCCTGGTGTATGTGGCCGGTGCCCTAACCATTGAGCTATGAGCACTAAGCCCATTGTGTGTTTATTTTAATGGAAAGTCTGTTACGTGGAAAAAGACACAGGGAAGTACCAGCAGAAAATACAGGAAACAAAACTTTAATTCAAGATGTTTCTACCAGAGCACATAGAGCCCTGAGATACTAACACAACGTTACCTGTAACCAGCACTTGGCTGGGAATGATAGATGAGACTGCCATACTAGTTCCACATCTTTCAAAGCAGGAACAGCTAGTGGGGCCTGTGGCTTGACCCCAGAATTAATCTAAACGTGGCATTGAATAGGTGTGACAGTCTCCTCTGTGTACACTCTTGGACAAACCATGGAAGAGTCTTCTGACTTCCACTCCCTGTGTCTTACTCAAGGGAACAGATGCACTGAGCTGATGGGTCAGATCCTAGCACACCAATTAGGTTCATGCTTTTGAGATTTGTCTCTCGGGATCTGAGTAAGTGCACAGCAGGGCAGGTTCCTTCCCTGGGGCACTGAGGGGTACACTAGCCCTGCCTTTCTTGAGGGGTTGAGTTTGGGATAGGGGAAACAGAGGTACTCTCAAGTCTGCTTTGCTCCCAGA